TATCATTAAGCATGATTTGTCTGTAGAGATCCATCCTTGCTACTTTGAGCCCATTTGGATATAGACATTTATAAATGGAGGGGTTTATGATAGAGATCAATAAGTCTTGTACTTATCTACATTTGTTATTTCTATTTGCTTAATGGGTCTCCATGTGTGACAGCCATAGACATTTGCTGTTCTATAATCTTAAAGTCATAAAAATCTATTCCCTTTTGCTTTTCACCATGGAAGCAGTGGAAATGATCAGAAAGTGAAAGACTTTGAAAAGCTCGACCATAAATGGGGTGTCTCTGTCTCCTCAAGGCTCATGAATCTGTGTGGAAAAGAAAGCATAGAGATCATGAGCGCCAGAGGTGGTGGAAGATTTTGGGGAGACCATGTCTTCCAGACTCACAGAGACTGTGGCAGAACACACATGGCCTGCACTGGTTCCAACGAGGTGGAATTTCCGTACTGAGAGAAGGAAGTGTAAACAAGCTCCTGATTTTATCCAAGAAGCTCTTTTAATTGTTACCTGCTAGCAAAATTAGGAAAAATTAGTTTCTCGATCAGAGTCTCACTGTACATATTATCTATACTCCAGGATAGGTCCACCCAAGGGTTGTTGACCAACACAAAATAAACTCATTTTATTTTTGTGGAATTTTTGTTCCTTTTTTGGGGGGTTGATGATTTACTTATATATTTTAGGGCTTTTTCTTGCTGGATGATTTTGTGTTTCTATTTTTGTAAAGAAAAAGATAAAAAGTTTGCATATGTAGAGATGAGGAAATGATTTTGGGAGAGTTGGAGGATGGGAAAATAAAAAATATTTTATGAAAACATACTTTTTCAATAAAAAAGCCAAACATGTCTACAATTTGTTCATCACTTATAATATTTATATTTTACATTTGGATCACTAACCTCTTAGAAGCTTCCTTTTTATGTTTAATTTCAGTTTCTTATCTGTCTGTACTGAGAAAGTTTTCTCTGAATCATCCACTAGGCAACCAGTCATTTCACCTGACTGGCCATTCCTCTTCTATGATGATTCTGTTTTACTAGTGTGTAGTCACAGTCGTCTCTAACCATACATTAACCTCTCTCCATTTTCATGCATAGGTTAAAATCTTCCTTTTTGTGTATAGCATGGAAGTAGGTACCAATGAAAAGAATTATACCAGTGTTAGAATTATTGCCCAATTTCTTTCAAAACATGAGGAGTTGCTTTAAAATGTCAGGAGGGGTGGAAACAAACAGAAAACCCTGTCTTGCATGTTTTGTTGTCATGAAGTGATTTTAGTCTGGGGTCTCTAGTTGAGGTCCAATCTGAATAGCTTTTCATACGTGGAATGCATCCCTAGTTAATTAATCCTTCCCAATTTCTTCTACTTAGGAATTTAGCGATTCTGTAAAGAAAAAAATAAATGAAAAATATGTTTTAGAGAATGGAGTAAAGACTATGTGGTCTGCAAATCCAGGAAAATTGTTGCCTATTTATTTGTGGATTGATGAAGAATATTATTACATTTGTGATGAACTTTGAAACAACATTTCTCTGTCATTGATAACTTTCCATGAATAATCAGATGGAATTTTGGCAATAGCATTGGTATGTCCATAGCTATAGCTTTAATCTAAATGGTTAGACTTATCTGATCACAAACACTCAATGCTTAAGTTAGTATTAAGACAGCACTCACCTCTTTGCTGCACAACAGAGGCTCATTTCACAATTAACAACATAATCCATTAAAAGTGAATATGTATGTTGCAAACAATAGCAAGTGAAAAGAGATTATCATGCAAAATAGGCAGAAATATGAAAAAAGAATGAAGAATTTTGCATACTATAATATGGTAATTCCTTAATAAAAATATGTAATAATTATCAAGAATATATTCCACAATCAGAACAGATAAGATATAGCAATCAGGCACAATATGATGTATCTAGAAGACACCATTTGTAGTGACCCTGTCCATCCTCTGGATCCAGTCCTCGTTTGTGATCATGTTCCCTGGACATTTAAGTGGGGCGGGGGTGGGGTGTGTGTGAGAGATATAGTTCTCTTATTTAGGGCTGATCAGTCAGCCATCACTTTTCCTTTCCACATATTTACAGGTCTAAACCATTTAAAACATTTCCAGAAAATTGAGGAATAGGGAGCACTCCCATATTTGTTTAATGAGTCTAGTGTTTCTTTGATAAACAAAGCAAGACAGAGGATGATAAGTAAATAAAAGAGAAGGTTAGCATTTCTGGTGCTCATAGATGCAGATGTCTTCTACAGTTAGCAAACTGAAATCCATAACGCATTATGAGAACCACTTCCCATTAACCGGTGGAATTTATCCTATTATGGAAGGCTGGTTTGCTACACTTGAAAGAAAACGCACTATGTTAGCACAACGAAAGGCAAAATTCACATAGCAAACAATAGTACCGGATGTAGAAAAGATATTAGAAACATTTATTACAGCCTACAGTAGTTAAAAACCCTCAAATATTTTGATTGGTGAGCAGTTTACCTGAACACAGTAAAGCATAGATGACATGTCTGATGCTAACATTATATTCAACAGAGAAAAGCTACAGCCTTTCCTAAGGGATGCCTGCTTCCACCACCGTCTGCTCACGATAGTACTGTAACAGGTGACCACATGGCCACATTGTATGACCTGGATAGTACTGTAACAGGTGACCACATGACCACATTGTATGACCTGGGGAAAGAAACGTAAAACAACAAAACAGAAGGAAAGGGGCTGCATTATTCTTTATGCCCCCTTCTCTCTCTCTCTCTCTCTCTCTCTCTCTCTCTCTCTCTCTCTCTCT